AATCCTCTCCAAGATGAATCTGTTTTCCTGGCAGTCCATGGTACATTCAGTACTCTTCTCCAGCACCACAGCTCAAAAGCATCCACTCTCCTTCTGTCCTCCCTAGTCATTGTCCAACTCTCTGATGCATAACAAGCGATTGCAAAGACCATGGCCTGTATCAGGCGCACCTTAGTCTCCAGAGAGACACTGTTGCTCCTGAGTACTTTAGAGAGGTCCCTAACAGCAGACTTTCCCATCACGATACGCGTTTTGATTTCCTGACTGCTGGTGCCAAGAGTGTTGATTGTGGAGCTGAGCAAACTGAAGCTGTGAACAATCTCAATCTCTTCGTCATCCATCCTGACGCTGCCAATTGGTCCAGTGGTGAGAATCTTTGTCTTCTTGACATTGAACCTCAGTCCATACTGAAGGCTGCAGTCCTTGACCCTTCGCAGCAAGTGCATGAGGTCCTCCTCAGTTTCAGCAAGCAGGGTTGTGTCATCTGCATAACGCAGATTGTTAATAGATCTTCCACCAATCCTGATGCCCCAATTCTCCTCATAGAGCCCAGCCTCTCGGATAATCTGCTCTGCATACATGTTGAAAAGGTATGGAGACAGGATGCATCCCTGGCGTACACCCTTCCCAATTTTGAACCATGCAGTGTTACCCTGCTCTGTTCTGACTACTGCCTCTTGGTCCAAGTATAGGTTTCACATTAGCACAATTAAATGTTCTGGGATTCCCATTCTTCTCAGAGTCAGCCACAGTTTGTTATGATCCACACAGTAAAAAGAGGACGGAAGGAGTACAGAGTCACTATGCCAAAAAGAACTGGCTGATAGGGAAATAATTCAGAAAGTGTCACATGATCAAAAGCCAATGGTAACAAAGGAAGAAGTTGATGCTGCACTGAAGGCATTGACAAAGAATCCAATGTCCCAGGAATTAATGGAATACTAATTGATACATTTCAAATGACAGGTGCAGCCCTGGATGTCATCACCAGTTTATGCCCGGAAATTTGGAGGACAGCTGCCTGGCTGGCTGACTGAAAGAAATCCATATTTGTTCCCATTTCCAAGAAAGATGATCCAACAGAATGTGGAAATTATCAAACGATATCATTGATATCACATGCAAGCAAAACACTACTGAAGAACTCATGGAAGTTCAATTGGGTTTAGAAAAGGTTATGGCACCAGGGATATCACTGCTGGTGTCAGATGGATTCTGACTGAAAGCAAAGATTACCAGATGAGTGTCTATTTGTGCTTTATTGACTGTGCAAAGGCACTTGACTGTGTAGATCACAACAAATTATGTCTAACTTTGACAAAAATGGGAGTTCCATAACACTTAAGTGTGTTCATGTGAAACCTATACCTAGACCAAGAGGTTACTGTGCAAACAGAGCAAGGGAATACTACTTGGTTTAAAACTTAGGAAAGGTATGCATCAGGGTTGTATCCTTTCTCCATACTTACTCAATCTGTATGCTGAGAAAATTATTTGAGAAGCTGGACTCTATGAAGAAGAATGTGTCATCAAGATTGGAGGAAGACTCATCAATATCTTCAATATGAAGATAGATGCACAACCTTGCTTGCTGAAAGTGAGGAGAACCTGAAGCGCTTGCTGCAGAATATCAAATAATACAGCCTTTAATATGGATCATATATCAATGTCAAAAAAGCAAAAATTCTCTGATCTATAGGCAACATCATGATAGAGGAAGAAAATACTGAAACTGTCAATGACTTCATCTTACTTTTGATCCACAATCAATACACTTGTTACAAGTAGTCAGGGGATCAGGAGACTCATTGCATTGGGAAAGTCTGTGGTCAGGACCTCTCTAAATTATTGAGGAGCAATAATGTTGGTTTGAGGAGTACGGTACACTTTATGCAGGCCATGATCTTTTCAATCACTTGCTATTCTGCTGAGAGCTGGACAGTGAAGAAGGATAACAGAAGGAGTATTCATGACTTTGAACTATGGTGTTGGAGAAGAGTACTGAATATTTTGTGGCCTACCAAAAGAACAAACAGATATGTCTTAGAGAAGGTGAAGCCAGAGTTCTCCTCGGAGGCAAAGAGGAAAAAGCTTCATCTCACATACTTCGGACTAGTTGGAGAGGTTATTCCTTGGTGAAGGACATCGTGCTTTGGAAGGGATAGAGAAAGAGAGGAAGACCGTCAACCAGGTAAATTGACATAGTATAGTGACTGTGGATAGGACAATGTTCAGATCTCTTTTTCACAGGGTCACTGTGACTTGATGGCACCTAACAAAAACAATTTTTCAGAAGATAGTGAAAAATACTTTATGAACTATTGCTATTGATGGTGTTGTTATGAGCCCTTGAATTGGAACTGACTCATAACTTACCCTTCAGTGTATTTTCAAGGGATGTAAATTCAATGGGAGGAGATTGTCCACCCATCTTTCTCCCTCTGAATAAGTGATAGATTTGAACCACTTGCTTTTGGGTTGGCAGTACAACTCCTTACCCATTAGACCACAAGAGCTCATGATAGCACTAGATGAATTTAAACTATCTACCTTAGTCAGCAGTCCAACATGGTAACAATTTGCACCACTCTATTACCCTTGGAGTCTTCTATTACTTTTCTTTTTCTCATTCATTCCTGAATTTCCACACATATAAATTTAAAATCAGGAAAAGTATATGTTAGGATTATATCTTTTCACCATGCTTCTTTAACCTGTATGCTGAGCAAATAATCCTAGAAACTAGGCTATATGAAGAGAAATACAGCATCAAGATTGGTGGAAAATTCATTAACAGCCTGCAATATGCACACAACACATCTTTGCTTGCTGAAAGCAAAGAAGACTCAAAGCGCTTACTGATGAATGAAGATCAAACCCTGTAATCTTGGATCAATCAACAGCATCATAATAAATGGAGAAAGATTGAGGTTGCCAAGGATTTCTCTTTATTTGGATCCATAATCAACATCTATGGAAGCAGCAATCAAGAAATTAAATGATAGATTATTTTTTTTAAAGTCCTTGGATTATTATTGGATTATTTTTAAAATGCTAAAAAGCCAGGATGTCATTTTGAGGACTAAAGTGCACCCGACTGAAGCCATAATATTTTCAATTGCTTCACATGTGTGAGAAATTTGGACAAGGATTAAGGAAGTCCAAGGAATGATTGATGCCTTTAAATTCTGTTATTGGTGAAGAATATTGAATATATTTTGTACTTGCCAACAGGATAGACAAATACTTCTTGGAGGAAGCACAGCTGGAATATTTCTTAGAAGTAAGGATCTCACATACTTTGGGCATGTTCTCAGGAAGGGGCAGTCACATCATTGTTGGTAGAGCATTGGCCAAAAAAAGTCAACTCAATGGAACGAAGTGATGCACAATGGTTGTTACAGCAGCGACTGTGAAGATGAGGCAGGATCAGCGAGTATTTCATTCTGTTGCATACAGGGACAAGGTCACCATGCTGTGTCATCAACTCAACACCACCTATCTACAACAGCAACAATAAACTTATTTATTTAATATATTATCTTCTATAATAGAGTATATGGTTATTGAAATAAGGATTCTGGGTTGTTTTGCTCACTGTTTTATTTATTATGCTGGAATAGTGCCAGGGTAATAGTACATACACAATAATTATCTGTTGAGTGAAAACTACACCTTCCATTAGTATATATTCTTCCAGAGGAAATTCTCATCAGGCTGAAATGACACATATTTATAAATATATATAACAAAAGACTTGAGGAGCAAGCACAATTTTACAGGCTAGGGAAATTTTGTAAAGACCTCCTTGGTACAAAGAAAATAGAACAATTGTAGTATGGGGCACATCTAGATTCTGAAGTAGGGAGTTTACCAAGCAATAGTTAAACTGAAGTTCACATCACTTTCCATTTACTTTTTGGAAAATTTACTTGTGTTGTTCATCACTATTAAGTCAGCTTCACCTCACAGCAGTTCCACACACAGCAGAACAAAGTCTCCTGAGTCTCCTGTCATCTTCATAATCGCTGATGAAGTTGAGCCTAGTGTTGTGGCTATTGTGTCAGTTCACCTTGGTGAAGGCTTTCCTCATTTTCTGTGACTCTGCCAAACACAATGCCCTTTTAATTTTGTTTTATACTGATATATTTACAGAGTTCAAATACATTGTTTCTCACACTGGATCTTTCACATTTCCTTTACCCCGCCCCAGCTCATCTAATTGTGAAAACCTATAGTTAACCTCCTCATCCTCATCTCCCTGCTTCCACTCCTGCCCCACCTCCCTTGGATCCTTATACTCATTCTACAATAATGGCTTTATACAGTATTTATCCTTATGGGACTGAGTTCACGCAGCACAATGCTCTCCAGTCACTCTGAAGCTAGGTAATAATTTACAAAATCATTGCTCCTGTGTGCTTCATAGTATTCCATTTTGTGAATGTAATCATAGATTCGCAATCCATTCTATTGTGGTTGGACATCTGGTTTGTTTCCATGTTCTTGCGATGGTGATAACATTGCTATGAACATCGGTGTACAAGCCTCCGTTTGAGCCTCAGTTCTCATTTTCTCGGAGTATTTTCCAAGGAGTGAAATAGCTGGCTTGGCCACATTTCTGCCTTCCTTTCTTCTACATAGCATGCTTGTTGTATTTTTCCCCCTGTTCATTCTTCTAGATGCCCATGGAGTATTCATTATTCTTCATCACCACCAGAATTCAAGCGCTTCGATTCCTCTGCTTCTTCCTCTTTATTGTTCATCTTTGCAGGCTGATGAGGCAGACAAAGACACCATGGCCTCAGTCAGGCACATCTCAACCATCAAATTGACATCTGTGCTTTTAAAAACTTTAAAGAGATTGTGTATGTGTGTGCAAATTTACCCAATACCATCTATCTCAGGTTTAGATGCTATGTTCTATAGGATTTGTTACTTCAGAGTTTCCTTAAGTATTTGTTTTCTCGTAGGTTGCCTGCTCACTCAAAGGACACGTGATGTCTTTACCTTTCTATCAGAAGTTTCATGAGCACTATGACCGAAGCTACCGCAACAAGGACCTCCGTTCCACCATGAGCCAGTACCAGCAGGAGAAGCAGCGCTCCGCCATCTACACCCATGGCTCCACGGCCTACAGCAGCCGCTCCTCGGCCGCCCACCGCCAGGAATCCGCCTTCAGCCAGGCTTCTTCTGCCTCCTCCTCCTCCCAGCAGCTGAGTTCTCAGGCCTACAGCCTCGGAACCACAAAGTACTCACTTGGATCTGAAGTCAGTCAGAAAGCAGCTTCAGCCTACGATTATGGATATTCCCACGGGTATGTCAAGATTAACCTTCCAATTTGGGGGGAAACGTGTTCCCTGGACAACCTTCTAAACCACTTTTGGTTAACAGCTGAACACTTAACCCACGAGGGCTCTTTGTAAACATAGCCCTGAATTTAGACGAGAATAGAGCGAGACCATGTGTGTTTGGGAGATTTGGGACCTACATTTACCTAATTCCTCTTGTCATCTCTTTGAGGTTCACAAAACATTTCCCAGCCGCACTGTGGAGCTTTGTTTGAGTTGCGACTTGGTTATTTCTAGAAGTGTGCAGAATTTTCAGTAAGCGCTGTTAGCGGCAGCAGAGCCAGCAAACCTTTCAGCATGCACAACAGATTTCCTGGCTCCCAGGATGCTTCTATTTCAATGAAAAGCCAGTATGGAATCTAAAATTCACAGGTCACAGAAAGCCAGATTTACAGCACAATGTATTTCAAATGACAAGATCTGAAATCCAATACTTAAAGTTCTGAACTATTGTTCAAACATAACTGGATACTTTAAACCAGTTGTCAGGAAATTGATCCCCACTCTTGGAAACCCCATATGTGTCAGAGCAGAATGGGCTCCACCGAGTTTTCAGGTCCCCAGACCTTTCTTTTGATGTTCCTCTAAGTAGATTTGAACCTTCCGCCTTTTGCTCAGCAGAAAAGTATGTTAACTATTTGCACCATCTGGGCGTTCCATCCAGCTAGATGATAGATATAGTGGAAGGAAACATTTTAGAAAAATATTGCCCTACTTCAATTAGTCCTAAGAATATGAGCAATGAACTATATAATCCAATAAATTGAGATTTATTAACCTATAACAAAGATGAAGGAACTATCAATACTTCAACAAAATAAATAAATTATAGGTCTCTAGGAAAAGTGGTGTTTAGATGCCACTTTGATCTGCAAAGTGAACCCAGATTTCTGTTTCACTGGATGCAATAATGCTAGTATAAGTGGAATGTAGCCTCTGAAATCCTTTCTCTGAAGCTGTGCTCTGAGTAGGAAATTGAGGCTACTTCTCTGTGTCAGCAACTTAAATTTTTAGAGGCAAGTGTGCAATGTTTCATTCTTATTGGTATAACTTCAACATCAAGGTCCTAATAGTATTTTTATTTTCAAGAAGAAGGTTTTCAACAAGACTGGAGTCACTCAAAGAAGAAGGTCATTATTATGACTATTCGCAGCATAATTTGGAGAATTATGTTCCTATTAGCTTTTTTGGTGAGGAGCTCTGGTGGTGTCATCCACAGAGAGCCCGTTGATAAGGAAGGTCACACCTTTTTTGGTGGTTCAAATTCAACATAGATTTTATGAAAGATGGACACCTTCCTCCCACGCAATTATAGCCTCCAGAAACCTGCTGAAGAATTAGCTAAATTGATTCCAGCTCTGCAGCAAGCACTTGACTTTGCAGCAAACTTCTCTGTGTCTCTTCTTTCAGCCTGAGAAGTGTTAAGCAGTTAGGTCCACACTAATTTTAATTGATCAATGTTAAGAATTATTTGGTTTCATAGGAGGTTTTGGTGTTTGGTTTTTTTTTTTTGTTATTGGGGGAAAGTAAACTTTCAAGATAATATTTTATTTTGTTAAAAAATAAATGGCGAACATTGTGTTGTGGCTGTGTGCCATTAGATTGGAACCAACCCAGCCAGTAGTTGACCCTTCAGCTGGTTTTCTAGTGCTGTAAATTGCACTGAAGAAGATTGCCCATCCTTCTCACGGAGTGGCTGGTGGATTTGAACTGCATGCTTTTGTTATTGCAGCGCAGCTTTGTACCACGAGGCCACCAGAACTCTTTAATTGGTGAACATAAAAAGTAAAAATTACTGGGCTATGTGGTAAATCGTCATCCACCATCTTGAATCCTTCTCTTTGAAACATCTGATTTTTGATGGTACATTTTTTTTTAAGTACAGTGTGTTAAATCTTATAAAAATAAGTTGTACAGAATTGCAGATAGGGCATTTATAAAAGGTGCTTGTCGTAGAGAATTGAAAGGCATTGGGGGGAAAAAGCACAGTGATTTGTGCTAGAAGTGAGACATGTTTCTAAAAGCAGAAAGCCCTTAGTCCTCGTGGGTCTGAGCAGGATCTGATCCTCTGCTATCACTTTGTTGGCATGGATGGTGATCTCCTGGGAGCTTCTGGCATGCTCAGAGCCAGTCCCAGGGTCTGCTGGGGCTTACCTGGAATGTACCATGGCAGCATGCTGAAATTCCATTTAAAATGGAATGGGATCATTTACAGCCTTGCTTTCCTGGGTCAGCATCTGACATGGGTCTTGTGCCCGTGAGGAACTTGCCCTGGCTGCAGATATGGAAATATTTCACTGAGGTAAATGCATTTCTTCTAGCACTTCCTTCAACTGAACCTGCTTCCAAAGAAACTTTAGGAGTATTGATCCACATGAGTATGTGACAGCCTCACTTTACTCCACTGACAAGCTTTCTGTGGGTAAAACCCTAACTCAGGAGAACAATTGTCTATGATAGGAGGATTACATTATTTCCGTTTTTCAAAATGGATGTTTTATTTGTGTGTGTGTGTGTGTGCGCGTGCCATCAAATTAGATCTGACTGGTACAGGAGGAGATTGCCCCTCCTTCTCCAGCAGAGCATCTGGTGGATTTGAACCATGTACCTCTGGGATCATAGTGCAGCTTCTTGCCACTAGGCTATCAGAGCTCCCTAAATTGATATTTTAATGAAAGTTTTTAGAGAATGATTGTGATTTCCATTCACTCATTTTTGCACATTTTCCTCCATGCCCACTCCTCCCCCCTCAAGTTAGCTTTTCTCTTTGAAAAAAAGTTATTTCTTTGTTATACAAACTCCCCCCTCCCTCCAGTACACTTTACTATGCAGCTCTTATTGTGGACTTTTGCCATGCAAATAATACTTAATCATGTATTCCTTTTAAACAGTTCTCTCCCTAATCTGTTCCAATGCAGTGTACATTATTTATCCCCTTTTCTTAGTTTTCCCCCAACCCTGATGTCAGGTCTGTTTTATAACAGTGGCATTATGCAGTATTTGTCCTTTTGTGACAGAGATATTTCATTCAGCATAATGTCCTCCAGGGTCACCCATTTTGCATGATATTTCATGAGTTCCTTGGTTTTCAATGCTGCATAGTATTCTGTTGTGTGACTATACCACAGTTTCTCTATCCATTCATTTTTGATGGTCACTTGAGTTGTTCCCAATACTTTGCTATTTGAACAAAGCAGCAATAAACATGGGTGAGAACATATCTATTTGGGTTGCAGTTCTGGTTTCTTTCAGGTATATTCCCAGTAGTGGAATTACTGGATCAAATGGTATTTCTATTTGCAACTTTCTGAGAAAGCGTCATCCTGCCTTCCATTTTGCACCATTTTACACTCCCACCAACAGTGAATAAGGATTCCAGTTTCTTCACAACCTTCCCAGCATTTATTGTTTTCTCTGTTGAATTTTGCTATTGCTACTGGGGTGAGATAATATTTCATAGTTGTTTTGATTTGCATCTCTGTTAATAACTAGGAATTTTGAACATTTCTTCATGTGTTTGCTTGCCACCTGAATGTCTTTTTGGGGAAGTGTCTGTTCACATCCTGTACCTATTTTTCAATTGGGTTGTTCCCTTTATCTTGTTGTGGGGCTTGAGTATTCTATAAATTCTAAATATAAGTCTCTTATTAGACATGTCATTACCATTTATTTTTTCCCAGTCTGTGGCTTTCCTTTTTACCCTGTTTGAGAAGTTTTTGGAGGTCTAATTCATCTATTTTATCCTCTCCTTGTTGTAGGTTGTAGGTGGCAAGCTTTTGGAGTTGACTGCTTTTCCGGGCATGTGTTTGATGTGCAGGTTTGCTCTGTCTCCGGGAACGAGGCTAGCCAGCCTGAGCCTAGGGTTTGAGCCAGGAGACAGCCTTAATCCCAAAGGGCCCTTGGGCCTGCGGCCCTTGGCCAGGTTCAAATTGTTTTCCTGTCAAACATTCTTCTAGGTGGTATAGCACTTGTCTGTGCATTACTGTACAGAGGTAACTCGTGGTTGCTGTGATGCTGAAGACTGTGACAGTGATGTGCCAATCATGGTAATGGGTACCCATGGTGGACAGTGTTGGATGGAGCTTCCCGACTAAATCAAGCCTGGAAGCAGGAGCAGCACCACTTGCGAAATGGCTTGCCTCTGGAAACTCTATGTACGAGCAGTGCTCAGGCTGTTTGTTCATAGGGTTGCTATGAGTTGTCTATGACTCGATGGCACCAAACAACAACAAGTTGTAGGTTTTTCAGGATGCTTGGAAGACTGTTCATGTTGTGGATTAGGGCTTCAAGAATTCTTCCAAAATTTTCTCTAATCCTTGGTTTTAGATCCACTTTGAGTTGGTTTTTGTGTTTGTTGTGCAATGTGAATCTTGCTTGAGTTTTCTGTAGATAGTTTTCCAATTTTGCCAATATTATTTGTTAAAAATGCTGTGATGTTTCCCTACCTACTGGTTTCATCTCCTTGTCAAAAATCAGTTGACCAATTCTTATCATGAACTGTAGTATTGGAGAGGAGTATTGAATATCCCATGGACAGTCAAATGAATAAACAATTTTGCCTTGGAGAAAATGCCACCAGGGTTCTCCATTAGAGGAAAGAATGGTGAAACTTCATCTCACATGCTTTGAGCATCTTGTTAGGAGAAGTCAGTCCTTGGAAAGGTGGAGGGTCAGCAAAAGAGAGAGGAAGACGCTCAACAAAATTAACTGACACAGTTACTGTAATAATGGACTCTACTATATCAGTGGTGATGAGGATTGCACAGGATAGGGTATGGTCCAGATCCTTTGTTCTTAGGTTCACTATGAGTCATAGTCTACTCAACGGCACATAACAACAATAACAATGTAGAAGGGATCATATGAAATATTGATAACGTAGGAATTTAATCTCTATGTGGTTGTGTAACATAGTTGATGGATTATTCCTAGAATAACAGTGTTTTATTTTATGGTAAGTCAAGGT